ATCCAGTCTCTGTATGGGAGTGTGAATCTGAGACTCTGTATGGGAGTTGAATCCAGTCTCTGTATGGGAGTGTGAATCCCAGACTCTCTATTGTACAGCTGACTCCAGTGATAGCTGTTGGACCAGGGCTGGGTTTAGAGCACACCTCAGATGTGGAGGCTCGGTTTGTGTCCTCCCCAGGAAACAGCGCCCCCCACCTCTCTCTCTCCACTCCCCGCTCCCCCCACCCCACCCCCCAGCCCTGACTGCCGACCTTGTGTGAAGACAGTATGTGCTGCTGGTGCTGAGGTGACCGAGCAGTGACACAAACAGGTGGCCTCCCGAGACCATGCAAGCGGCTTGCAAATGCAGCAATTTCCTGTGGCTCTGATGTCAGCAGTGGGGAAGGTGGCTCCACTGGAGACTCGGTAATCCCTGGGAGGGTGAGTTTGAGCATGTCCAGCTCCCTGCTCGCCCTCCTATTGACTGAGTCACTGTGTTTGTGTGTGTGTGTGAGAGAGAGAGAGAGCCGTCTCATTGATGTGAATCCACCTGGACGCTGGGTTCCGCTGCAAATAGCACAGATCCAGCCCTGAGCCCCCTCTCTCTCTCTGACAAAACAGTGTCCCCAAAGTGCCCAGGGGAATCAGCATCTCTGACTGCAGTTGGGAGGTACCAGGCTGCACCTTCACTCGATGCAGCAAAGCTGCAGAAAGACAGAACAAACCGCCTGTAACTGCATGAAGCCCGGCTCCATGTGAGAGATGAATGCGTACGGCTCTCCCTATATGTACATGGCGGGCCCGGTCTCCCAGCCCCGGGCCCCGCTGCAGAGGACCCCGAAATGTGCTCGCTGCAGGAACCACGGCGTCCTGTCCTGGCTCAAGGGTCACAAGCGTTACTGCCGCTTCAAGGACTGTACCTGCGAGAAATGCATCTTAATCATTGAGAGGCAGCGGGTGATGGCCGCTCAGGTGGCACTCCGGAGGCAGCAGGCTAACGAGTGCATCGGCAGCCTCATTCCCGACAGTATCCGCTTGGCAGGCGGCCCTGGACCGGGCCCTGGACCGGGAGCGGGTCCCGCTGAACCCCGGCCCCATCAGACCAAAAGCGGAGAGACGGCGCTGCGTTGGGAAACGAAGAGCTCCCAGCAAAGCCGGGCCGGTAAGGCACTAGAAATAACCGTACAGCAAAACTCAGGCGGATTGAGATCGTGTACCCGAGTATGTGCAAACAAGGAACAGGTTTATTTATTTATTTTTACCCTGTATTACATTCTGACATCGCCGTGACAGAAAAGAGGGGAGAGAAAGTGAAAAAAAAAACAAAGCTAGTGCTGGAGAAACTCGGTGTGTCTGGCAGTTTCTGTGGAGAGAGAAACAGAATTTCGGGTCCAGTGACCCTTCTTTCGATTTGTTTCAGATCTCCAGCATCCGCAGTTTTATTTTAAACAAAGTCTGGGTTGCAATGGTGATTACTGTAGGAGTTGCAGGGGTGATTACTGTAGGAGTTGCAGGGGTGATTACTGTAGGATCTGCGGATGCTGGAGATGTGAAACAAACACAGCAATTTCTCCAGCAGTTTCTGTTGTTTGTTTCTGTTTTTTTTTTGTTTCTGATTATTACATGGACAGGCTGTGGCTGTGGAATCGGTAATGGGCTCGGGATTAACATGCATTCAGCAACATGACTTGTAGAAGGGTTCATTTGACCCAGTACAGCGTGCTTTAGTCAGTTCTTCTGACTGACATATTTAATTTTACGAATTAAAGTTATATTTTAAGAGTGCAGGTAATGGAAATATTCCGTTTGCTTTAATTAGGGAAGTACGTGAAACAGAAAACATAACGTCTCGAATAAATTTAAACCAAAACTACGGATGCTGGAAATCTGAAACAGAGACTGAAATTGCTGGAGAAACTCAGCAGGTCTGGCCGCATGCGTGGAGAGAGAAGCGGAGTTAATGTTTCGGGTCCAGTGACTCTTCTTCAGAACATAATGTTTCACTCGTTGCATGGAGTCGGTTTTAGACTGAGCTTCTTGCAGAACACACACAGAAAAAGGATTTAACACAATTTTCCCAGCAAATTCTTTCTGTGATTTGAAAAAGGGCAACATGTTCCAGGCAGATTAAACCCACCGGTGGACATGTGCACACTTCATAATCAGGTCCCGGTCCCAAATTCTCCGAGTATAGATCCGAAGTTCCTCAAGTGGCAAGAGTCTGATAGGAGGAGGTTGTTATCAATCCACAGACGATTGAGTTGGGGGTGGGGGGGTGGAATTTTGGAAATATAGTGCGTTTACTTGGTTCAATTCAGAAACAATTGCAGAAACACAGATTCTCTGGTTATAGCCAAAATTTACCCAGATTTGTAACCTCTTACCAACTTCCTGTCCGTAGAATTCGTTGTTTCTATAATTAGGGACATGTGAATAATTTAATCAGCGAGGATTTCTATGAAGAGACGAGCACTGATGTGTGTTTTAGGGAAACATACTGAAGCCATTTCTTGAACAGCTCTTCGAAATGGGGACGGGAATAAATGCTGGCCCAGCCGGCGGCGCCTGCATCTCGAGTGAATTAAACAAAAACTCCCTTCCAAGTAGATGTCTTCCGACCTCATTTTCATTTGTAAGCTCATTGCGTTCAACATGGCTTTTAAAATGTATCCGCTGTACGGAAGTGGTGTTTGCTAGCATGTAAGACTCGGTGGAGCGGGTGCTGAGTACACTGGGCTGATTGGTAGAGTGATTCCAAAGTCTGCTCGGGCTAAACGACAGCAGAGGTTTCCCAGGCCCATTCACTAGGGACCAGTGAGCTGGGGGAGACATGCCATTGGAAATTACCTGAAATCATCTTTGTTGAAAGTTGAGCACTTGTAGAGACGAATTTGTCAAAAGAAACAACTTTATTTTAAAGAAAAAGAAACAGCGTAAGCCTTTGGAAATGTTTCACAAATGAATGTACGTTTAAGTTTGGATTGGAACAATGTGAGTTATTTTATGAGGTTAATTTATTTAGAGAAGTAGTAAAGGAAATTTAAGCATCTTCCCCTCTCTCGTTTCATTCTAAGATAGATACGAGAAGTTTTGACAAAATAAAAACCGAGAGAACTGCGGATGCTGTAAATCAGGGGAAAAAAAGTTGCTGGAAAAGCTCAGCGGGTCCTGAGCAAGGGTCACCGGACCCAAAACGTTAACTCTGATTTTTTTCTTCACAGATGCTGCCAGAACTGCTGAACTTTTCCAGCAACTGTGTTTTTGTTCGGGAAGTTTGACTGCAGACTCGTCGTGTACTTCCACAATAGTCTGCATACAACGTTCATTTTAGACGTTTTTAAAGTGTTTAACCTGCTCGGAGATGTTATTAAACACCAGAGGAGTAGGTGGGACCCATTTACACACTGAACTCCACCGCCCCCCCCCTCCCCACGACACTGCTATTGCACCTCAAGAGCCGTCTTTGAGAGTATAACCTCACGGATACCTTTCAGCCACGAGCTGGAGCGTGAACCGGGATTTTTTAACCTGGCATCGAGGAAACTATCCGACCTCATTTAACATTCACAATTCGGATTCTGTGAAATGATCCTTTTTTATAGGTTAGGAGTTTTTAACGAATTTATACACATACATTTATACGGTAATGGTTCCTTAAAAGATAAATGCATGTTTAACTACTAAGCTGTCAAGTTTTAAATAAATTTTCTATAAAGACAACACATTCCTATCTTTGCAAACATCGCGCAGTAAATTCCGCTGATTTGAAGGCTTTCTATCTCTCAGATTTTGAACGTGGTCTCTAGCCTTATATAGACAAGGCAGTTGGAACTAAACCCCGACCCTCAGCCTAATCCCGAAACACTGAGACCAAACATCGAGCGCAGCGCTCAGAAATTAAAATATAAATCTCTTTTTAATATAATACGGAATTCATTTACAGTAACATTCCCTAGGCACTGGTAGAATATGGCGTGGTAATCATTAACCTTTTGTAAACGAGCCGAGCTGATTTAGGCGGCGAAGCTTTGTAATGGGTGATACCTTCATAGACCGTCTAACGAAATAGCATTCGTTGTGCAGCACACAGGAATAGCAAGGTCAGTCGTACATTTGCACTAGGTATGATCATGATGTTAAATTTAATATTGACCTCAATGCAAAGCTTCCAAAATTAGAGGGACTTTGAAACTATGCTTTCTTGTAAATGATATCAGAGCTGCGCCATTCAAGTGGGAAGTTGACTTAGAGTCTGAGGTGGCGGTGCGCTGAACATGTCTATTTGTGAGGTTAATATCAAATTATTCGTAAGAGCAATGATTAAAGAATGCTTACAGTTTAAAGAGAAAACCAGGATACGAATATGGGTTTAAAATCGAATGATTACACGAATAATGACAAACATGAGCTGTTAGCTTTCTTGGCGTTTAGGGATTGCGTTGAGGGCATTTTGCTGGAACTGTAAGCAATGTGGGATAAAGACAACGAAATGAAAATGATGAGTTAACCCAGGTCAGGGAAGGCTCACTGTCAGTGATATAACCTCTATAAATGAGAGAGTTGGGGGCTCATGCCTCACTCGAGAGAATAACTGTGAGCTGCAGTACTGAGAGAGTACTACGCTGTCAGAGCTGGTCGCTTTCCAACGAACTATTATCTCGTGGCCTTGGCTGCTTCTTCGTCTAGATACTGCTGGGGGAGAGCAGGGAGGTTCCCTTATGCATAAATATTTATCCCACACTCAAACAGACTGTTGAATCAATGTCTCATTGCTGGTCTTGCCGGCCCTTATGTTGTGCAAATTTAAAGTTCACTTACATTACCCTTCTCAAAAATATCCACCTCTCAAAAACACTTCTGTTGTTGGAAAAATACTGACTCCAGCTAATTCCTTTCAACTTAGTGCAAGTCATTCGATTTGTTCCACAACACTTAAACACTAACGAAAACGACAGAAAATAAATGTATTCTAATGTATCATAATTCTTTTAACAGAGTCATCTTTCTCACAGAGAGATTTTCGCTTTGGTGCTGTTTGCTGAGCGAAATAGAGTATTACCTGGCCAAGTTATATTCTGTATTCGAAGATGGTCTCTTTATGAGACCCCTGATTAATTTCCAGTTTAAAAAATGACACATAAAGGAGCTAGGTCATGTTTGTTGCTCCTAATCTTTTCGTTATGCAGCTTCCGTGTTGTTTGTAGATGGCACGCATTTTAAGGACATGTTAGCACATATTAACAAAAAAGCCATAACGAGATGACTAAAACGTTATCGTCAACATTATTCAAAATGTGTTGGTATGCTGTATCGACCATCGTTAAATGTTTTAATGTTTAACTTTGTTACCCTCATTTAAATATTTTAACTTATTTATCCATTTCCTTAGGCTAGAGAAGATACGGATTGATCTAAAATGGAATTGTTCAGTTGGTGTCGACGGTGTAGTTTATTAGTTTAATTAATTAATCCTCCTAATACAGGCTGTACCCGATGAACTAATTTAACTAGTTACTCGCAATAATGTGGTGACGATTTTCTTAGTTATGTCACATCACCTTTTAATATAGTGATTTCACCTTTTACTTGTACAATCAAGCCTGCAGTCACTCAATAAGGATCTAGAATAGGCTGTTTTAGTTACAGGCAAGATAAAGCGAAGAGTAAACTAAAACCGAGTAGGGTTCCGAGAAATTCTATTGGTCAAACTTTATTCCATTGCAGTGAGATTCCTGGGCATCACTACACATTTAAGACCATTTTTGTGGTAATTGCTTCTAAAAAAAAAGTATTAATTTATCCTTGGTTTGAAACAAACACCCGCTCTTGAGTACACGGAGAATAGAGCTGACAGCATTCTGTGATTAGTTAGATAAACTTCTTTCAATTAACAATAGAATTATAAAATTAATTTTTGAGTTCATACTCTCTTTTATTTCTTTGGATTATTAACAAAGCGTCAGCGCTGTACGGAGTGCCGCTGGTGAGGTGATTTGTAGCAATGCGGATTTTGAAAATTACAATTCACTTGCTTCTGAAACTATTATACCCTAAAGTACAACAAGGCAGGGAATTTAATACAGCAGTTTCACAGCCTCTGCATTATATAGCTGACTCTTCACATTAACTTAACATTTTGGAACAAAACGGCCTTGAATTGAGCTGCA